AAATGAAATTTTACATCGGTTATTTGTAAAACTGATGTGGAATCTCTTCCACATCGGTCAAACCCCATGTGGTATATGATATGCAACGAAGGAATTCAAGCATTTTCCATATCGGTTATTAAAAGTCCGATGTAGATTATTTCACATCGGTCAAAACCTATGTTAAATGTGCTATGGAGTGGCTATGTTAATACTTTTCAAAATCGGGTATTGCATGACCGATGTAGAAAGATTTTTCACATCGGTTGTAGAACCGATGTGAAAAATCTCTACTTTTCACATGGGTTGGAACCACATCGGTTAAACAACCGATGTGAAAAGCCTTTTTTAACCGATGTGAAAAGCCTTTTTTGTACTAGTGATGCTTAGAAAATATATATATAGAGGATATTGATAAGTGACATTTGATGATACAATGTACCTAACAGCCGAGTGAAACAAGTATTGCAACTATATATTAGGCACAATAAAAATTTTGAATTAAAGAAAGTTGTGAAAGTTATATCTTGTATAAGGAGTAACTTTATCATATTTTAAATCACATATTCACTAGACAAAAATAAATTCTAAGTTTCTAAATTATGGACACTAAAGTTCAATCTTTCACTAAAGAGAGAATTGAAGGAAATTTGTGAAATACATCCATGAATTCTGGATATACATAAGACATGTACACTAAGTCATTAAAAGATTAAATTTAATGTAATAATCTGTAATGATTCAAAAGAAATGGTGAAATATGTTTCAAACGAATTCTAATGTGGATGTTTCTAAATTATAGACTTGTATCGTGTAGATGGTAAATAACAAATTAGAAGTATCTAAAAATATAATTTTGATTTTATTTTTTATTTTTTATAGATTTAGGATGTATATATAATTAAAATATTTATGTACACACATATATGTTTGAGAAATTTATGGGCCCTACTGGAGCAAAGGGCCCTGGGCGCATGCCCCTCCTGCCCATGCCCCAGGACCGGCCTGCATTAAACATTTTAGAGGTAAAAGTGTGAGCTCATAAATGAATCACTTCTTTCTTAAACACTAATAACTTTTGGTATTCATTTCTTTTAAATTTAAAATTAATTCTAACCAGTAATCACTTTTCAAAAACAAGATATTTTCATTTGGACTCATTTCAAATCTAGTTATAGACATTCTTAACTAGCTTGTCCGGTGTCAAAAGTTTATTGATAATCACAAAAATTATTTTTCAAACGATTTTTTAAGGAAAATGTGTACCACGCTGAGAACTTACCAAATTATAAACACACATTTCATAGTTTTATGATTTTTTATTATTCTTACGGAGTATTAGATACTACGTACAACCTTTTGTCACTTTTATAAAAGTCGAAAAACTAAATATAGATAATTTCAAAGACAGATGTCAATAGTGTCTTTTGAATAATAGTCGAAGCAAAATGGAAAAAATTAAAGTCAAATATCAAAAGTGTCACTGACATAATAATTAGAAGACTCAAATGACAAAAATACACACAAATTCCCTCCACGTCTTTATTAAATCATAAGCTTAAATCATAATTTAAGTGTAATTGTAGATTTCGTTTGTAGTTTACTACATCCTCTGAAATTAAGATGTATTTAACTTCGACTAAGCCATTAAGAAAGTATAGAGAATAGTTGTTATTTTACAGTTGTAATCTCTGTAAAAAGAACGTATTGTATGAGTTCACAAAAAATAAAGAGGTAAAAGATTGAGACTTGAAAAATAATAAATTAATATAGTTCAAATTAAAACTTTGATCATATTTCTAGGGGAAAACAACGCAGACATTAAAATGGGACAAATTGAGTACTTCATTACAACAACTGAGGTTTTCACAGAATCAAAATACTTAGTTTAACCTGAAGGTTAGGTACAACGCGGAGAACTTGAAAACATCAACAATGTATCAAATTGATCCACATACTTTCTACGGAAAGTAAAGTTGTCACTCCTGCTTTAAGTTTCATCAATTATGTATATTGTTTTGTAATTTTAGTCAAAACAGACTTTTAGCATGTAATCTGCCAGTCAATAGGTTACCTGCCAGTCAATAGGTAATCTGCCAGTCAATAGGTTACCTGTTGACGTGACATACACATTACAGGTCTGCACGGCCACATCAATTTTTTCTTTTCTTTTTCTTTTTATTTCTCCTTTTACCTTTACTTTCTTTTCTCTTTCCTCGTTTCCCCTTCCCCATCCTGTCCTCTTCTTCTTCAAGACTTAACATCATTTTCGTGCAAAAAAACTCCAACCCCTAATTCCAGCTCTTTCTTTCTTTCTCCGTCAATAACTAACAATGGCTAGAAACAATATTCATTCGGAGATCACTTTTTGCTCATATCTCTCATGTGAGCGATTGTTTTTTATTTTATTTTTGAGACTAGATTGGAGTTCGTTGGCTAGGACGAGTTTTGGGGGCTGGTTGCAGCTAATTGGCACTTATCTTTTTCGGACTCCTCCGACATTTTCATCGACGATTTCAGGGTTTGGCACGAAAACAAAATATGTAAATGAAGTCATCATGAAGAGGCATACCTCCTCACATTCCAAACACCCTTCATTTTTGGTGACTACTCCTCATGCCGTCTGTTGGATAATTGATACCCATATGTATGAAAAGGAGAGATTGAACAATGATCAAGAAGAGTAACGGAGATAAGTGTGTATAGAATGAGTTGTGAGTTCTATGAGTTATGATTTACAAGCCTCCTATAAGGAGTATATATAGGGAAAATCCGGGTCTGGGCCTCTAATACGGGCCTGACAGACCCGGTTACATAAATGGACTGATAGTATAAAAAGCCAATCTAGAACATTTGAATAATGATGTACAATAATATGAATTCGCTAAACGTGTGTGGGCCGCTGTCCAGGCCCAGTAGTCGACATACCGGGGGGTCGGAGTCCATATACTCCATCACCGTCGACTCTGTTCGTGGAGAAGAAAGGTGGACAAGGACGGGAAAGAAAGAAAGAAAAGGGAAAAAGGAAGAAAAGGAAAACGGAAATGGAAAAAGAGAAGAAAACTTGACATGGCACGTCACGTGTGCACCATGTCAGGCCACATGTGTGTCACATCAGCAGGTGACTTGTCAAAAACATGATATTTTCATTTGGACTCATTTCAAATCTAGTTATATACATTCTTAACTAGCTTGTACGGTGTCAAAAGTTTATTGATAATCACAAAAATTATTTTTCAAATGATTTATTTGTTTTTAAGGAAAATGTGTACCACACCGAGAACTTAACAAATTATAAACACACATTTCATAGTTTTGTGATTTTTTATTATTCTTATTAGGTACTACGTACAACCTTTTGTCACTTTTATAAAAGTCAAAGAACTAAATATAGATACTTTCAAAGACATATGTCAATAGTGTCTTTTGAATAACAATCGAACCAAAATGCAAAAAAATCAAAGTTGAATATCAAAAGTGTCACTAACATTATAATAATTAGAAGACTCAAATGACAAAAATACACACATATTCCCCCCACGTCTTTATTAAATCATAAGCTTAAATCATAATTTAAGTTTAATTGTAGATTTCGTTTGTAGTTTATTACATCCTCTAAATTAAGATGTACGGAGTATTTAACTTCGACTAAGACATTAAGAAAGTATAGAGAATAGTTGTTATTTTATAGTTGTACTCTGTAAAAAAGTATTGTATGAGTTCACAAAAAATAAAGAGGTAACTCTCTGTTGACGTGGCATACACATGACAGGTCAACACGACCACATCAATTTTTTTTTTCTTCTTTTACCTTTCCTTTGTTTTCTCTTTCCTCGTTTCCCCTTTCCCAGCCCGTCCTCTTCTTCTTCAAGACATAACTTCATTTTCGTGCAAAAAAAAACTACAAACCCCTAATTCCAGCCCCGACTTTCTTTCTTCTTTCTTTCTTTATCTCTTTCTTTCTTTCTTTCTTTCTTTCTTTCTCCGTCAATAACTAACAATGGCTAGAAACAATATTCATTCGGAGATCACTTTTTGCTCATATCTCTCATGTGAGCGATTGTTTTTTATTTTATTTTTGAGACTAGATTGGAGTTCGTTGGCTAGGACGAGTTTTGGGGGCTGGTTGCAGCTGATTGGCACTTATATTTTTCGGACTCCTCCGGCATTTCCATCGACGATTTCAGGGTTTGGCACGAAAACAAAATATGTAAATGAAGTCATCGTGAAGAGTACCTCCTCACATTCCAAACACCCTTCATTTTTGGTGACTACTGCTCATGCTGTCGACTCTGTTCGTGGAGAAGAAAGGTGGACAAGGACGGGAAAGAAAGAAAAGGGAAAAGGGAAAAAAGGAAAACGAAATCGGAAAAAGAGAAGAAAACTTGACATGGCACGTCACGTGTGCACCATGTCAGGCCACATTGCATCAGCAAATGACTTGCTAACCAGCGGGTTACTTGCTAAAAGTCAATTTTGTCGAAAGTAGGATGATGTAATTGATGAAACTTAAAGTATTATGGATGAATTGACTTTTCATAGAGAGTATGACGGTCAATTTGACACATTTATTAATTAGATATTTTCACAATTTTTTAGAGTCATCGCGCTCATTATTCTACTGTATGCATGTATGTATTGTATCCCTTTACCTAATACTCTCTTAGATCTTCAAACTTTTATCAACTTCAAATGACACAAAGAATAATATTATTAGTATGTGTAGTTGAGATAAATAATACTCCATCCGTCCTATTTTACCTGTTCTATTTTCCCTTTTGAGCTGTACTAAAATAAGTGTCTCCTTTCCTTTTTTGGAAAGAAATATATATATGGTTCACACCATTTCACTTTATTATACTCAAACCTCAACCACAACTTTTACTTTTTCAACCACATCATTAATAATTGTGCCAAGTCAAACTAAGACACATAAAATGGGACAGTAGAAATCATTCATTAATTGATTAAATTTTTTCAAAAAAAAAAAATGAATGTACTCCGTAGTACTTTCAGTTGAGTGGAGTTGATTTTCACTTGATTTTAAGTTTTCAACCTATACAGGGCAGAACCTTATTTCAGATTTTTTTCTCCCTGCAAATCAAAACGGTGCTAAACATGGACGGATATGGAGGGGGGAGCTGGACGATGATCCCCAACATCCAGACTACCAGTAACCCCTCTACACCCTCTAACCAAGACCATCTCTTTCTCCAACAGCAGCAACAACAACAACAGCAGCAGTTCAATCAGCAGCAACAGCAGCTGTATCAGCAGCAGCAGCAGATGCAGACGCATACGCCACCGCCTCCGGCTCCGCAGCAGTCACTCGCGTCTCACTTTCATCTCATACAGGTTTGACATGGAAGACATCGATTTGTATGCCAGCCTGTTTGATTGTGTTTTGATTCGAAAACTTGATTGTGTAGCTGGTGGAGAATTTAGCGGATGTAATCGAGAATGGGACTCGCGATCAGCATTCAGATGCCCTGGTTATTCTTGTTTCGTTTATTCTTAGTTTTCTTTTGTGCTTAAAAAAGAGAGGTGATGGCATTGCCGCATTGGCATATCAATGGTTCTTACACTTCACAAGCTACCGCTTAACTGTTTTCTTGCTGTCTGATACAAGGTTAATGAATTGAAAAACCAATTTGACAAGTGCCAACAGCTGCTCAACTCAATATCAGCTTCAATCAGCTCGAAGTCCATGGTAATGATATATGATAGTTTTGGGAATTTGTCTTTAGAAAATAGCAAGTAGCAACCAGTGGCGGAGCCAGAAATACGGTCCAGGGGGTCGAGAATCAACTTTATACAAAATGAAAACGGTGGATCGTTTCCAAACAATGTCCGAGTTGGATATTTTATATGTAGTTTAGATAAATAGGCACTCGTAACAATAACAGAGACTGTTTTTGCTCTATTTTTGAGTCATGTCACGTAAGTAATGAGTTAATTATACGCTATTTTTTAAAATTTGGGGGAAAAAATCAATTTTACTCATCAAATTTTGTTGATTTTACGTTTAGATAGTGCTAATTTTGCAGAAGTCATAACTTTTTACTCGTAATGAGTTACGGGGGCCATAATATATCAAATCGAAGATATTTCAGAGCTCTATGCTCTCAAACTTTCAGCGGGGTCGACTGACCCCCCTGACCCCCCCCCCCTTGGCTCCGCCCCTGGTAGCAACCACAGACCTTCAATATCCCACAGAAAGAAGTGGAAAATATTCTGCCTTCGGTGTGTATGGATCTAACTTTTTAAATGGATTCTGCTCTTTTACACTTCGAAGCAGAACCAGATTTTGTGGTGTTAGTGTAAAGCTCCATAATTTTCCCCTTAATTGTGGAGCAATATCAGTTTTTGAGAAACCATGAGATCATCGTATCAAAAACTGATCCTGATTCTTGAAGGTTAATCTACAAAACAACCTCTATTAAGTATACATATAATATCATAAGTATAGATATCAATATAAAAGTATAGATATCAATAAATATCTACGAACAAACATAAACATCAATAAATTTCACTTTAATATACTGATTTGGTCATTCTATTCTAGAATCAGTTTCAAACAAGAAATCATCCAGGCTCTGAAGTGATCCTATGCAACATAATGGATAGGCAATATTGAACACTAAAAACTCACTTGCTAATTCTGTTTCTGATTTTAAGAAGCAGAATGAGAATCAATGCCATGAGACCAGCGTATTAAAAACTGATTCTGATTCCTGAAGATTAATGGACAAAACAACCTCTATTAAGTATACATATAAATATAAGTATAGATATCAATATAAATATAATTATCTATGTACAAACATAAACATCAATAAATATCACTTTAATATACTGATTTGGGCATTCTATTCTAGAATCAGTTTCAAACAAGAAATCATCCAGGCTCTGAAGTGATCCTGTGCAACATAATGGAGAAGCAATATTGAACACTAAAAAATCACTTTCTAGTTCTATTTCTGATTTTAAGAAGCAGAACGAGAATCAATGCCAAGCACTCACTTTGTCATTGATTTTTTTTTCTGTTGGGATATTGCTGTTAGATGCTACTCACTCCATTGCAAAGTTTTTGGAAATTTCAGGTTAAAGTCATTATTTAGGGAGAATTGTATAAGATCAAATTTTACATACTTTTTTTTTTGCGATGATCAAATTTTACATACTAAAACTTCATGTTCAATGCATAGTAGTCAATGGCGAGATATGGGGCGCGCCATACGTGCCATCGCCATAAAAAATGGTCGTCACCATCATATATGTGTCATCCGTATATGCGCCTTGAAAAATGCCCTTGAGCCATGGCGATCGCCATGCGCCATGACAACTATGGTTCAATGTTATTTATAATAATATTGATGACAGTAGCAGTTTATGTTACTACTGCACAAGCGATGGTAGTAACAATAGGAGTATTAGCAATAGCACCCTCCACTTGTGTCACCTCAGACGACTGGTGCTACTCTCTGGTGTTGTAATGGTGGGTGCTACTGGACTTGACTACCAATGATAACCGGTATTGTTGTCGTCGCCTCTTCTGACAAAGATAGTAACAGTATGATACTGTGTCTCTAATTCAAATGTTGCGGAGCTTTATGGAGATCAACATTTCGTTAAGTAGTGCTATTATAGTTCTCTCATAATTTTAAAACAGAAAAGCTTGTGGATATTCTAATTCTATTTGAGTTTTTAGCAGACAGTTGAGGGACAAAGGCAGAAACTGGCTGAAGCTGAAGAGTTGTCAAATCAACGAAAGTGTGTACATTCTATTCTATAGTTCAATTATTCACTATCCTTAAGGTCTAAGAGAAAGCCATTTCTGTTGGGACTTTTTCTGACGGGCACACTTTCCTATTTAATTTCAGGGAACTGATTTCCAAGTACAAAACCTCAGTTGAAGAGCTGCTCATCAAGTCCGAACTATGAATGGTGTTCACATTGTTGCTGTGGTAAGTCTAGCTTATTAAAATGCTCTTAGGGTGCTCATAATCTGCCTCAAAATATTTAATTGCAAGAAATGTTAGAAAATCATTCAGGACGTAGGACCGAAACTGTGAGCTCGGGTCCTATGGTCTAACAGGCAAGGCCAATGGTCAAACCAGATACTTAAATACATGATAATTAAATTAAAGTAGTATTGTATATATACATAATGATATCACATATACGTGTGTGTACGTATATGTGAGAAATAGGTGTGAAATTGTCGCATGACTTGTGGCACCACCTGAATCAGATGGTAATTCCAAAGTAGTACACAAAATCAACATCGTCCAGATCCTTAGAGAATGGAGGGTAATAGTGTAATCAGAAAGCATAAAAGGGATGGATCTCCAACCAATGGGAATGATTGAAAGTGAACATCAAACTTCAGTCTTTTTTGCCAAATTAGCCCTGACATTGCCTAGACGTCTCACAGGGAAAAAGAGAAGATTCCAAGTTAGGAAAAACTGCCTGCTAACTCCTAGATGTGCCCATGTGATTTAGCGGAGATATTACTAGAGATGAAGTGATATTATATATGTTTAGCTTTCCTGATATTTAATATTATAGAAATAAATTTAAGAAAAGTTCAAACAGATAATAAACTTCAATTTATTTAGTTTGAACCAATGACTTATTTTCATCAATATAATTTTTCCCTCCCAATTTTCCCCCCTATTTTATTTCTGTCACTTTCCGAGTTCCAAACACATGTGTACATGATCAAAAACATGAGGAATGAGGTCAAACGTGTTGTGTTTGTGGTGCTGAATGATAGTTTTTTTTAGCAATGTCTTTCTACTGAAATAAGATGATCTCTATTGACAGGTTGAGCTACTATAATCTGTAATTATTGTGAGAAGATATGGAGATGACATTCAAACTGCAGCTCCAAGGAACTTAAATTAGCTGTACAATTTAGTTGTTGATGTTTCAAACACATCAGATATTAAATCAATAGCTTTCTGTACAGGCTTGACATGCCTCCAGTATGCACCATGGGTTTAACACATATACTGAAATGAATGAGCATCTGACTATCTGATCATTTCACACGGTTTTGACCGATTCTCACTAATGTAATATTCATTTGTCTGGGAAAAAATCAGCAATGATGGCCAGCTTTTTTTTTTGAACCCCCTTAATTTTTTATACCACAATGGGTAAATAATATGGAGAAAAAATAGGGGTCGACAAGGTCTTGGGAGTAAGGACTGGTCGGTTTTTAAACTGGAACCAGGACCAAGGACCGAGGCAGATAATTAAGGTTTCAGTCCAGGACGCCAGGATGCGACTTGGACCTGCAGGGAAAGGGGTCTCGCTCTCAGGTTTATTCTTTGGAACGATGACTGGCTGGTCGGTCTCGGTCCCCTTCGCATATAATTTTTTTGTCATTACAGTTTAGAACCATCGAGACTGGCCCGGAGGCCAGAGCTGTCCCGAAATTGAAAAAGTCCCAGTCCTGAGACTCAATGATTTTTTAGAACTAGAGTCCAAGACTGGGACTGTATCCATACCTAGCGCCAATTCTACCCAACCCAGTCTGGTATAACTAGTTACGTAGTGCTATCTCCATGCCATTCTTGAATGGTTCTCAATTCTCATGCAAAACAACGATTATTTAGACAATAATTAAGTAAGGTAATCATTATAATTATTTGAGAAAAAATAATTTGATAAGTATATAATATAATGGGATCAGTGTTGATAAATGTGATGTTATAAGTGTATCATTTAAAATTGTAAACATTTCTTAAAATAGAAATGAGAACCTTTATACGGGACATCCAAAAAAAGTGTGAACCTTTCTATGTGACGAAGGGAGTAGTAATTACGGTTCCTACCTTTGAATCCCCTTTCTTTCAAAGTACACATTTAGTATGTACATAAAACCAGTCCGTTTGGTACTATGTTTTTATTCTAAAAAAAGTATGTTTTTTTATGTACGGAGTATATAATTATATATACGAATAACTGGGGCTGGACTTGCATGCTAAAAGACTGGACTGATAGGAGTGATGGCCCGTTTTCAATTCTAGCACCAGTCCATACTACATACATCTTCAGTTTTCCGGAATATGCCTGATTCTATTTTTTTTCGAAGACCACACAGAACCGGGCTAGAACCAAAATCAGTTTGGAACTAGACAAACGCAATATTTCCAGTCTTAAGTTACAGACAGGTACAAACCCCTTGAACCGAGAATCAAGACCCAATGGGAACCAAACCGGGTCTACTCCTAAGAATAACTTGAAATTAATAAGACAGATAAGAGGGCAAGGCAAAGAACCAGACCGAGCTCACCTTATTATTAAATACATACATACATAAAGTGCATAAATAAGCTTCTGGGCGGCATACACTGGCTATATGATCAATCTAGCCGTGGAAGGAAAAAATAATAAAAAATATAAAAAAGTCAGACCCCTCCATGACCTGCCTCATAAATCATCTACCTCTAGATAAACACTATAGTACTGGGGGGGACTAAGCCTGTTTTGTGTATGTGTGTGTGGGCGGGAGGGGAAGGTGGTCCTGTAACTGTCTCTCTCATCATCGCAGTTAATGAATGTGGTGGCATCATCAGGAGGGAGCTGACATTGGCTGAGAGGAAGAACCATAGCCATTAAGATGAGACTTCTGCCATCTCCAAGCCATCTGCAGACTCTCTTGAAGATCAGTGTGTTTGGCTGTCCAGTTCAACTCCCTCCTGATTTTGGTCGGGTCGCTGTACACTTGTGCATAATCACCGGGACGACGGGGAAGGTAGTCAACCTTAATGGGCACTCCGGTTGCTTTCTTGCAAGCCTCCACAAACTCCTTCACTGATTTCCCCATTCCGGTCCCCACGTTATAGATCCCAACTTTCCCAGGGGTTGCTTTCTCCAGAGCTTTTACATGAGCATCAACCAGATCAGTTACATCAATGTAATCCCTTATGCACGTCCCGTCACCTGTCTTGTAATCTGTTCCTCTAACCTGCATACATGGTGGTTTTTTATAAATACGAGGAAGCCATTAAGTAAATTGAAATATCAAAACTCGAATGCAAAAAGAAGAAAAAGTGCGTCACATCTGACCTTTAGACCAGGGATGATTCCACGAGCAGCATCAAAACAAGCGCCCGATATCCGCCCATGTTCACGAAGCTCTGGACGCGGGGCTTCTCCCAATCTTCCCTCTGGGTCAGAACCAATCACATTGAAGTATCTGAATTTGTTGTGAAAATTATAAATGTTAATGTTTAGTTTGGGGTGTTGGAATTTCATTGCTTCGGAAGAAATGGAAAGATCCTTGTCTCCTTGGAGGGAATGACAATAAATCTAAGATAATGATCCAATTTATGAGATGATAATATAAACAAACAATTTCAAGATAGTTCAAAACACCACTACCCTAGGGATTTAACATGAAATGCGAAAAAACACTTCATCGTTGGTAAGACAACGATTTAATGGATATAGCAGGATACCTCACTACTCAATTTGTCCAAAAAAAGGAACTTGTTTGTAATACTAATTTAATCAGCAATCCATGACTCATTTTTAGGATAGGGATTAGTAAAAGTAAACCAAACAAGTCCCACTCGAAAGTAGGGTCTTGCATGCAAACCTTATATCTACCACTAAGAGAGGTATCCCTGTTCCGATCCACAGGGTAAGGTAAAGTTTAAAGATTGGAAAACATGCGTTTTTTTTTACCATTTTGAACATTTTAGTAGAAAATTTGTAATAGTAAAAAAGACACCCAAAGATGAAACGCAGTATGGAGTAATACATTTGAACAAATCTAGTTATCACAGGGTTGAACACCTACATCCCCACTCATAAATAAATAAATAAAATAAGTAAAGTAAATGGGGAATTTTGACTTTATACCCCACTTTTTTAGTGATATTGGACTTTGCACCATTTTAAAGAAAATTAACTTTGCACCCTGATAAAACATTTTGTGAACATTTTTTTTGAATGGGGTGCACACACAGTCAAAGGTTTTTTTTAAAATGGGGTGCAAAGTCCAATATCATCCAAAGTGGGGTGCAAAGTCAAAATTCCCCAAAGTAAAAAGGCGCAATAAGTACAAATATTTAGAAAAAATGATAGTACACACCTCAAAATCATGACAGCCATGTTTGAGTTCTTGTGGAAATCAAGAATGATATCCTCGGCCATCTTCTTGGCTTTCCCATATGGATTGATTGGAAGCTATCACATGAAGTATTAGGGGACGGTCAGTTACTTGTATACTCACATGTACATTCTAAAAGGGGTGGATAGTTTGCAATAGCCATCACAATGCGAATGTATGTATTAGTAAATAAACTACATTTACCTGTGGAGTTTCTTCAGTTATAGGCATAATTTCCGGCTCTCCATAGGTTGCACATGTGCTTGAATAAATAAAAGTCGGGACTTTGTGTGCTGCCATTGCTTCTAATACAACAAGGGTATTGGATGTAATGTTGTGGTAATACCTGGTTTAGAACAAGTGGGAAATGCTACCCCATCAGTCTTCTTATTGAGGCCATTAGAGTTAATAAAAAATGTTTGGACAGGTGAAATTCAACTTCCTAGTTTTCTGAGCAAAACATAGACAACAATATAATGTGGGGAAAATGAATGTTTTTGTATAAAACCGTACATTTACCTTAGAGGATGAAGGGTGCTCTCTCCAACATATGCTACAGCTGCAAAATGCATCACTGCATCAAAAGCATTTTCGGAAAATATCTTCTGAACCTGAATACCATTGGTTTAGGTATAAAGTTAATAAAGTTAATAACATAAATCCAAACGTCATACAATGATTCGGGTAGGGAGAGGTTATGGAAGAGTTCAGGGAATGGAATTTATCCTCAAATATCTCAACCTTACTTACTTACTCGGGTCTCGGGGGTAAATTTCAAATAATATTTGGATAAATTGGAATTTATCCTCAAATATCTCCTCCGGTCACCATTTCCCTACATATGTGCCAGAAAACATGGGTTTAGTAATTACCATTTTTGCGTCCCCGAGATCAGCCAATATAAACTGAAGCCTTCCTTGCTCTGGAAATAGTTCTTGCAAGATCTTTATAGCACCTAGGTTTCCCCGTGAAAGGTTATCCTGTCAAAAGAGATAATCATGTACCTTAACATGTTCAGGACAGATGTACTGTGTGAATAGTTAATACAAGACCTACTCTATTAAATTAAGCATTTTAGACATATTACCACAATAGTCACACGATAGGAATCCTTTAGAAGCCGTAATGCAGCATGGGAACCAATGTAACCGGCGCCTCCAGTAACTAAGACATGAGTAACACCTGGTTCGTGACACGCAAACTAAGAAACATGCAGAAACAAAATGAAAAGTCAGTTTAAAGTTATAAACTGATGCATTTGATAATAATAAGTACACATTTTAGAATTGAGCTCAAACTCCAAACTCCAGAAAAGCATAGTTATCAAGAAGCTCAATTACATGCATTTGCATGTTAATGTTTAAACTAAAACATATTTAAATAGCTAGTTATCCTAGTATTCATCCTTGGATGATCTAAAGTAGACATTTCAGCTATCCACAATGGAAGTAATTCAGAAAAACACCACATTTAAAGAAATATCCAAAATTTATCTTGTTGCAAAAAGTTTTACTTGTTAACGTATTTTTAACCTTCCTACTAATCAGAATGCCCCATGGAAATATTGTTCTAGGTATCTCTAGTAATCCTTTTCCAAGAGAGTTTGACAAAAAGAGCTAACCATATGCTGGTACAATAAAAAAAACTTTAGGCAGTGATTTTGCATGTTACCCTGACCCTAGTAGTATTGGCTTTAGCACATTATTACTATAGTCAACTCTAGTTGTAGCTATTTGTATAACTCCTTGTATACTGCTTTTTAAACACATAAGAATAAAAATATTTTGACAAGTTTGTTTTTGTATAGGCAGTTTTCAGTCAAAACGAATTCAAATTGTGACTTGTGAAGCATTCCTACAGCAAGAATGACCTGAACTATATGCATGAAGTTTCCACTAAAGTTTCTTGATGCTTCTAAATAATAAATAAATTTACATCTGTAAAGGACATGTGATATGGAAAGAAGAAGCAAATTATTACTATCATCATT